TTGGAAAACATAATAATCACATACAGATGTACAGAATAATTAATACTTGTATTTACATAGCAACTTACGCTTTATTGTCACAATTCTTTCCTCACTAGTCATGATTGTAGTTGAATTAATACTAGCAGTACATCTATAAGTACCAGAATCAGAAGCAGTACTCGAGCTGAAACTTAATGTATTAGTAACAGTAGTAGTTGTAGTATTCTTAGTAGTAGTCACAGTACCAGTTTCTATTGTACCATTATGTGTCCATGCTATTACCAGGTTTGGTATTACTATGGTCTGTTTAGTGACTGTACAAGTTAGAGTGAAGTTATCATAAGGATATGAGTCAGGACATGATGTTTCCAGGCCCAAAAATGAGTCAGGTGAGATAGAAAAATTTCCAATCATTGGATCTATCAAAAATTTAAACACTGTAATAATGACAAAGTGCATGTCCATGATTATTGATCATGTATAAAAATGAAAGTAACCTTTTAGAGTACAGGATCTTAATTTAATTAAAGTTAAAATGTTCAGAATTGGAATTGGCTCAAATCTTTATAGAGTATAAGGTCTACCATGCATTCAATTACATATTAAAAAATGGTACTTCTACATAAGTGTATAATTCTTACCAGTAGCATTTAATTCAACACTCATATCATTAGTATCAGAAGTAGTAACATATTCATAAACTGGAGCTGGTACTATAGTAACAATACATGTATATGTTCCTGAATCCTCAATACTGCTCAATGTAGTGAAATTAACTATTGATCTATACTCATTGAAATCTGATCTTATCAAAACAGAGCTGATATTAACCCGGTTTGTATCAGCAAGCATCATTATATTAGGGTCAATTTCATCTCCATTATCACCACTACTCATGATTTGTTGATTGATCATGTTCCAGGTTACATTAACAGTGAATGGTGTGTCAACATTAGGATCAACACTGATATCACATGTTAGTATCAAGTTACTGCCAGCTAAGAAATTACTATCTCTTGATCGGCTTACATCAACAGCTGGAATGGGAACTAAATTAAAATCAATTAAAAACAATTATTGAAAGGAATAAGTACACAATGTAATCAATATCGATAAACAAGCGCTCACACAATCACTGCATAATTGCAGTTTAAGCACCTAGGTTAAACGAAGTTAATATCCATGAACTGATCCCACATGGCTAGGGTTGGTCTGCAGGCGTGGCTTTGCTGTTAGCACATTGCGTTGCTTTTGTTGCAATCACACTGCTGGCTGCTGGCCGCTCTGAGTATTATTGGCTGCTGGCTGCTCTGAGTATTATTGGCTGCTGGCTGCTCTGAGTATTATTGGCTGCTGGCTGTTCTGAGTATTATTGGCTGCTCTGTGTGTTATTGTTTCTCTTTCTCTCCCTTCAATCTCTCCCTCCCTCCCTCCCTCTATTATGTGTTTGTGTCTATTATTATTGTATTCTCCGCCTGTGAGGCGTGAAATTTGTATGGGCAGGGTCTTTGACCCACACTCCCCCTAATTGAGGCTAATTCATTATTTTGCAGCTGATTGTGCCACAGCTATGGTCCGTCCAAATCCTAGTAATAGGAGTTAGTTAGCTTCTAGGGTGTAGGTTAGGTTCTAGGAGTAGGCCGTAGGATACATTGTTAGGTTTAGGTCCTAGGGACTGGGCGGACCAATTTGCTGTGTGGAGGCGGACCCCATGCTCGGGAGAAATGCAGCTCTGCTAGCCTCGGGTTCAGTTTGACCACCATTTATTTGTGTTGCAAGCTTAGGGGGTGTGGCCCATACGAAAGTTACCAAACCTACCTTCTTTCTACCCTTTGGTAGTTTGCAAGGTTTATATATATTTTTGAGCTTCATAGGATATTAAATAATTTTAATATAGTGTATACAATGTATACACATATTCTTACATGAGTGCTACATTTTTTCCACAAACATAGGTATTTTTTCAGTTTTTAAAAATGGCCATATAACTCGAAATTTGAGGTTGGAATCAGCTTAAACTTTCTATACAGCGTAAGGACATTAATATGCATTAATAAAAATTAGGAGTGATTTTGCAGCCATTTTTTGAAAAAAGAAAATTTGAGTTGCCTAAAAAGCAATGGAAACAAAAGAAAGTAGAATTCCAAATGACCAACTTATTACAAATGACTCACTATACCCAAACCAACAAAAATACAAAACAAAAATTCTACTATTGTAATGCAAATTCTACTCAAGCAGCATTATCAATGTATGCGTAATACATAGTGATGCACACTATCTATCATGCATGTATGGTATAGAAAATAAAAAATATCAATTATAATCATTGTTCTACTTACTTTTTAATGGCAATTTTGATGTGTCATTACTCCTTGCTACTATGGGTATCTGACTTATGTTAATAGATGCTTCACAAGTATACAGACCAGCATCAGAAGTATTGAGAGAAGAGAATCTTAAATAAAGAGAACTCAACACATTAGATATATTCATAAGAACTGGAGGTACATTAATAACATTGCTAGCTGATCTCTTAGTCCATATTATCACTGGTGAGACTATAAGTCTATCAAGAACTGTCACTGTACAATTTAACATGTATTCTTCACCAGGTTCAGTGATACCCATAGCTACTATCTCTACTACTGGCCTTGGAATAGCTGTAATGAAACAATAAAGAATGAATAAGAAGAGTGAGAATTTGGAAATAGTTAGTGACATTATTACTTATTAAATCACAGAAAAGCTTCAGATAGACTAGTGGTAGCTACTAGTAATGCATCAAAAACAAACTGAACCAACAAAACTGTATTGGGCTTTGCATATACTGTACTATGATGTACTGCTTGGCATTGTACTCTTGGTATTACTATATACAGCATACACATTGATCTACTTACCCATCACTGTAATAGAAGCTGATGTACTCCTGAGGTATGTGTAACTATTAGGAGCAGTCACTTCAACGTTACAAGTATACATTCCACTATCATCAGCATTATCCAATGGATAGAACATTAATGTTGCATTATAATGTAATGTATTGATCATATTGAGACCCTCAGTAATAGTAGCATCAGATGAACCCATAGGAACATTAGTACCATCACGTGTCCATTGATTAGTGACAGTCACTGGTATAGTAACTAATGGATCTAACATTATGTCACATTTAATGAAGAATGATGTCCCTGCATATAATGTATCATCACGTTCCTTTGCTATAGTAACAATCACTGGTGGAACTGTAAGACAATGAAATTTAATTAACTACTTTAGCAAATAGCATGACATAATATGTACAAACATGCAAATCTTATGCTTTATTTTAAAATGTACAGTAGAGTAACTTACAGTGAACAGTCAAATTATAAACATCACTAGCTTCTTGAGAATCATATGTAGCAGTGCTAGGATCATCAGTGTTATTATAACCAGTTACATTAAACTCAGCCATACATGTATACATTCCAGCATCTTCAAACCTCACTGGGTCCAGTATTAGAGCATAGTTAGTAACTGAACCAGTTTCATCTGTTGTGATGGTGTATAGTTTATTGGAGATTACTTCCATATCTGTATCATTCATTTTAATTACAGTAATCAATGGTGTTACTACTAATCTCTCAATTGTTATTATGGTACATAGTATTGTTAGACTCTGACCAACTTCAACTGAACCAACTGATGAGAAATCTACTGTCATTGGAGGAAGGCCTATATAGTGAAAGACAGAACAAGTAGGGAAAAGAGAATGTGTGTATTTGTGTAGAGACAAAGAGCATGAGAATTAACAATACAATATATAGGCAATATAGGCAATAGAGGAGCAGTATATAATAATTTACTTTCAACTGTAATATCAAGGGTAGTATTAGTAGTTTGACTTGATGCTATTAATGAGTTACCAGAATTGACAGTCATTTGACAGGTATATGTTCCTCCATCATTATTATGACCAGTATCAATAGGTTGAAACAATAGCATGCTTATAAGACTGTTACCAGTTGGAGGTATCACTTGACGTCTTGCTTCATTAGTTGGTATTACATTACCACTAGGATCAGTCCATACTACACTAGCAGTTACTGGTATATTCACTATTGTAGTGTCTACTGTAGCTGTACAGGTTAGTAAGTAACCTGTACTCTCATATATTGGACCAGTTGGAGGATCAGCAACTATTGATACACTGGGAGGAGATACTAAAAATATTGCTACAAAATATCAAAGAATAATTATTACTCACTTTGAACAACTAAATCTTTATTAGTACGATCTACAGTGCCAAATGCAATAAATGCTGCTTGACAGTAATATTGTCTAGCATCAGTTGTCTTCACTGGATCAAGTGTAAGTACACTGGTGAATATATTTCCATTTCTATCAACAGGTACTAATGTAGCATCATTGTTTTCACTGGTCACATCTTGAGATGCCGCTAAATCATAAGTCCATCTGACACTAGTAAGATCCTCAACAAAATTAGGAGGTACAACTATGACACAAGATAAATTGAATACATTACCAGCAACAGGAACAGGAGTTTTGATACTTATATCAACATGATTGACATCAAACCCTATCAAAATATATGTAAAATGAGGTAAGATACAAATCAATTCACTAACTTGCTACAGTTAATGTAACTGCACTGCTATTATCATTCCCTGCTATTAAAGATGGACCAGGGGTGACACTAACTGAACAATTATAACTAGCACCATTATCAAGCTCATCTCTTAAACTATTAATACGTAACACACCAGTGTACTGATTATTAGTCATAACTGGAGGACTGATAGTAAAATCACTTCCATTGGTCAGTACAGTGTTATTTCTCCTCCAACTCATAGTAACACTAACACTAGATCTAGTATCAATATATTGACTTATGTCAGCTATACACATAATATCAAGAAACTGTCCTTCTACAAGTTCTCCATCTACTAAATGCCCAGTAGCATTATACTCAACAATAACTGAAGGAGTTGGTACTATAAAAACAAAAAAATTAATAAAGCATATTCAACCATTTCAACGTACATGTTATTATCACTTGGGCAGTTTTCGTTCCACTAAATTGATAGCCGGTATCAGATTGAGTGATATTAACAATGCACTGATAGTCTCCAGCATCAGATGACCTTAATAAATCAATCATAATTGTTGCTGTAGTATCACCACATTCATTGCTACTAGTAACAAGTACTTCATTCTTTACTATACTGCTATGACAGTAATAT